CTTTGGAACGGATTTAAATAAGATGAAATATCTATGCTTTTAATTAAGGCAGCAATACTCCCATTGGAATAATAACGTTAAGCGGATTCGAGATGGGTGTTTAAAACTAAAAGAAAAGTTACTTGCTCCTCGATTTCTGCCGCCGCAGGCCAGTTCGCGCTTCCGGTGGGAAATTAGACCGCGGAACAGCTAATTTTTGTTACGATTTTTCCAACTCAGTCACGTTGAATCATACCCTCATACATCAAACCGAAATATTCTGCTAGAACAATTATTCCCAATTATTTGATCCGAGTTGTTTCTACTATTTGATTATTCAATTTATTTCTTCATGAACCGAATAATATTTCAGGATTATGAATGAATTTTAAAACACATAATTTCTATCGTCATGGAATTCGAGCATTTTCAGGAATAATATATTCTGTAAACAAGTCTCGGAAATTCATCAAATAATCGGCAGTTATATTTAAAAAATTTATCAGCCATATAAATCTGAAACGGGAACGGAGGTAGGGAGTGCTCGAAATAAATTGCAAACGCAACTCTGAAAAACAATCCGAGCGATGGTAAACGGGCAAAAATCGTCGCGTATTTTTTTTTCAATAGAATAACTAAAAAACGCCTGTCCACTCTAAATCACGACCAGCCGTTCCGCTATTAATTAACGATATCGACAGCCCGCTAATAGACCGTCCGTATAATATGAAAATTACACTTCGCGCCCTGCCCCCGGATAAACAGCCGCCCCGGCTAGTTTTAAAAAGCTGAGTCACAGCTGCGGTTATTTTATTAATTTCGCCTACCTATGCTCACTATTAGATTTAGTTTATTTAAATATGTGATACACTGTGATTAATATGTACGATTAATCAAAATATTATTGCAAAGCAAAGCCATTTGCTTCACATCAACAGCGATGTATTAAATTATATCTTGTATTTAATCACTGGATTTATTTGATAATAATTAAAAATTGAATTCAGGTATTTGCTTAATTAAATCGATGGGTTCAAAAATTTGTTAGTGAAAGCAATATCCGCGAATCGTTTCACTTTGATCAATTTTCATTAAATCAGAGAATATCGTTTATTCACTGGAAATATTTCCCGATCAAAATTGCATGAAAGCTCTCGCTGCCAATTCAAACTATCGATAGAACGAAAAAGGAAATCCAACCGGTTTCCAAATTCATCCCCTCGGTGGGAACAAGCGGAGAGTGCCCGGAGGGCGTCGACCCTTCGTTAAGGCCGTCCCCTTCCGGGGCGCGGTAAGCCGAGCTTGGCTCTCGTTGAAAGAAAATCAAGTGCATCCCCCGAAGGGATTACACGGACTCCCGTCCGACCTTCTTCGAAATGCATGTCCCATGATCGCTAGGTGAAAGGACCGAGGCCCCTTTCGCTTTCATTTCCTCCGACGGAACTTAAAGTCGCGCGTTCCGATTCGTTTCCCCTACTCTCGCGGCCCTTTTCATCCGTGGACACGTGCCGAAACCACGAATGGGCCCTCCCTTATGCCTTTTAACCGTGTTCCGGTTGTTCAACACCGGAAAATGAAAAGCGAGTCAGGTGCAAATAGGGTGCTGGGGTGACTCGAGCATTTTTATTTTTCTTCCTCTCTTCCCAAGTTCATACAGGGGGTTCGTTGTGGTTCACATTAATGGGAAATTGTTGGATTAAATGCAACGTAGGATTAAGCGAAATAGTTCCACTGTAAGTGAATAAAATTATAGGATCAAGTGGAACAGTGTCGCACTATAAGTAGAACAGGTCAATGATTTGTCAGACTTAAAGATTTTTATTCACATATGAATAATGTAAGATCGTAATCAGTGCTCATTGTTATCGTTTCTATAGCTGAACGAAATCTGACAGAATAATTTGAAGTACTAAGT